GCTTCAGGCACCAAAGGTGCCCATGTGGGGCTCCAGCCTGCTGTCCAGTAAATATGTGTGGCACTGACCTAATGCATGTCAAGTCAGCTGAAACCTCACACTTCTGACTACGGTTTTAAGGTTCTAATCTCGAAGTCTTAACAGCTTGCACATATTGACCTGAGGATCACAAGGTACTTTTGATTAGTCAGGGTTGAATTCATCTAAAGGACTTCATGAATAAAGAAGAGAGCTAGAACCCCTGCTTTCCTGCTCCTTGGTGGAGATTCCAGGCTAGAGGCAGGCAGCAAACACCTGCATTCCTGCCAAGCATCACGCATGGTGCTGGGAGCAGGAAGGACACCAGCGAAGGCACTAGTGAAGGCACAGATGCACGCAGCCTTGAGCATCCCTGCTGCAGCCACAGTCCAGCCCCACCACAGAGCTCTGGGAACTCAGGAAAGCTGGTGCACCTGGGGCTTCCCTTGCTTATGGGCAAAGTGGGGATAAGTTAGTGGCCAGGATCACTGAGGGCCACAGAACAAGGAGTCGCTAAACGCTATTCTCACTGCGATTGGAAAGGTTTATACTCACTGAATTTATGTGGACTTTCTATAAACACTGCACTGACGTTCACCTCACCACAGGGAGAAAGGACACAGCTTTCACATCAGCCCAGTCTGAGGATGTGCCTGGACTTCCCAGTCCACTCAACTCCCCCAGGCCCCAGGCCCCGTGGAAGCCACAACCTGTGACTAAGACAATAAGTCACTCTTGGTGTGTGGCAGTACTATGTGGGGGTGGGGACTTAGTCACGCTAAGGCTGACACCCAGCGCTGTGGAGCTTATTTTAGGTGGAGTGAAAATCAATTTCAGTTTGCAAACATGTCTTAGGACAACAGAAGATGCCCAAAGAAGTAGGAAAAAAAAAAAAGACCAGCCTGAGAAATAGTCTTTCTTCATTCAAGGCCTGGGGATTCAGGAATACAGAAAAGACATTTTCAATTTTATCTTATGATTAAATATCAACTCTACTGGGGGGAAAGCACCCCGTCACATTGGTATTAAGCCTGAATATCATTATTGCCACCTTGACTCCTATCACCATGAAAAGGCGCTTTCCATTCCCCTAACAAAACCATCCAAAGAATATCTGTATAATTTTGAGCAAGTTGGGTTTTGCTCACTTTGAGCATTAACTAAATTAAGCAGCCTCACCAAGAATGGCCCCTGAAAAACATGGTGGAGGCCTGACATGATGGCTCATGCCTATAATCTCAGCTCTTTGGGAGGCCAACACACAAGGATCACTGGAGGCCAGGAGTTCAAGACCAGCCTCGACAGTGTAGTGAGATCCTGTCTCTACAAAAAATAAATAAATATAAAATAACATAAAAAATTAGCTGGTCATGATGGTGCATTCCTGTCTTCCCAGCTATTCAGAAGCCTGAGGCAGGATGATCACCTGAGCCCAGGAGTTTAAGGCTGCAGTGAGCTACAATGGTGCCACCATACTCCAGCCTGGGTGACAGTGCCAGACCTAGGTACTCTTCGTGGTCTGCAAAAGAGTATAATATTGAGAATTAAGATCAGTTTTGCTCTTACCACAACCACGTATGCACTGCATGCCCTTACCTAAGTTACTTCTCTTTGTGAGTCTTTCTCCCTAAGAGAGGAGATGCCTCTGTTGGGGGTCATGGATTTAGGCTTGGAGATGAGAATTGTAAAGCTCCTAGTATTCAAAATGTTTTCAACAAATGGTGGCTGTGGTCTTCTTGATATGTGCAATTTTACCATAATTTCACATCCAACAGAAAATTACCCTGAAATTAAGCTGGGTGCGGTGGCTCACACATGTAATCCCAGCACTTTGAGAAGCCAAGGCAGGCAGATCACAAGGTCGGGAGATCAAGACCATTCTGGCTAACATGGTGAAACCCTGTCTCTTTTAAAAATACAAAAATTAGCTGGGCGTGGTGGCACACGTCTGTAGTCCCAGCTACTTGGGAGGCTGAGGTAGGAGAATTGCTTGAACCTGGGAGGTGGAGGTTGCAGTGAGCTAAGATTGCACCACTGCACTGCAGTCTGGCAACAGAGTGAGACTCCCTCTCAAAAAAAGAAAAAAAAAAAAAAAAAACGAAAAGAAAAGAAAAAAGAAAAAAAATCCCCTGAAATTAATACTTGAATGTTCATGAGTTCTCTCATGTCTAGCTAATGGCAGTACTTTTCTATGTCAGGGAAAATCAAGTACTAATATAAAATCAGAATAAAATGGTAAAAGAAATGGAGGCACAACAGATAAATCGTGGAGGGGTAAGTCTGTGGTAGCTAAGACCAGGCTGTCTGAACACATCAGGAGGTGAACTTCCTCAATAAAAAAAACCAAAAACCAAAACAGGTCCAAATGCTCAAACGGTTCAATATCATACCACCATAGGATAAAGCTGTTTACAGAGTCTACAAAACAATCCGTGGCCTCGGCTCTGCCAGGGAAAGAATGCCCAGACCACCCACCATGGTGGACTTCCCCAGGGACAGCTCAGGTGTGACCCATGTTGGCTCAAGGCCACCATATTTGATGTCACCTGCAGAGCTGAGGGAAGCTGTCTCCCATTAACTCGAGGCTGTACTCACCAAGCTGTGTTCCCATATGATATTGGTTTCCCACCTTTTTCTCCAGAAGAGAAGAGGCATGGGCTTACTGGTCTCCAATATGTAAAACTCCTTCCAAGTGGCAAAACCAGGGTAACAGAGAACACAGTAATTCTGCCAGTGTATGCTAATCTCACGAACTCCCAAGCATTTTAGCAAACTTTTGGACAATGACCCGTAAATATTCCCAATACATACAGCATCTTCTCTCTTTTTTTTTATTTTAACTTTTTTATTTTTTATAGACACAGAGTCTCACTATGTTGCCCAGGATGCTCTGGAGCTCCTGGGTTCAAGTGATCCTCCTGCCTCAGCCTCCCAAAGCACTGAGATGACAAGCATGAGCCACTGTGCAGGGTCCACAGCACCTAAATTCCAAAACAACCTTGAAACTCTGACCCTCCACCCGCCCTAGTGGCTTCCAGAGATCAGTTCCTCTTCCTGTGCCAAAGGTTTCTTCTCTTTTGCTGCCCGGATAAGGTCAGTCACTCAAGGTGCCCCCCCAACCCCCTCCGCTTCTGAAGGCATTTGACTAAGAAGCTACTCTGGGTCCCGCCCCGGCCCCAAGGCGGCCCCAATGGACTACCCACATCTCCGGGCGGGTGTAGGTAACAAGGGCCAGGCTCTTTCCACTTCACTCCCCTATTTCTCCAATCCCAGCCTCGGCTGCATCACATTTTCTTTCTCTGAGAACCCAACCCTGTGGGAAGAACGCTGATGATGGGTCGTTTTACTCGAAAGCTACTGCCAGAGCCTTTCCCCGCAGCGCAGCGGCGGGGGCGGGGGAGGGGGTGTGCTGTGGGGCGGGGCCTGGCACTGACACCCGGGTCTCCGGCGGACCCCGCAGCTCGGCTTCCCACGCTCCGGCTGCGGGCGCTGGACCTAGAGGGCTGCCTTGCGGCCCAGGGAGCACACGGAGACGACGGGCCGGGCTTCCCACGCTCCGGCTGCGGGCGCTGGACCTAGAGGGCTGCCTTGCGGCCCAGGGAGCACACGGAGACGACGGGCCGGGCATCACGTAGGCGCCCGCGTCGGGCGGGGCGGTGCCCACAGCGCCCCAACCTGCGGCACCCGCGCCCGCCCGCGAGCTCAAGGGCGAAGGGAAGGTCACCGGCGCCGTGGGCGGCGCGCCCCTCCGGTCCATCCCTGTGCAGTGCGCGGTCCCGAAGCGGGAGGAAACCCGGCATCCGGGCTTTTCCGCGCAACCGCGGCAGGAGGAAACGGGCAAATGACAATCAAAACCCGGCTCGGGCCGGTAGTGTCTCCAGCCGCGCGATCGCGAAGCCTCCCGGGTTGCGTCCGCTTGGGCAGCACCGATCCACCCGCCGGGGGCTGCGCGGGCTGGGACACTTCGTAGTCTGCGCACCGGCGCCCCCACGTGCACCCGGGGCCTGGGAGCGCGATCACCGAGCCCTCCCCTCCCTCCCGTGTTCCACATCCTCCCCGCGAGCCCGCGTCCGTGGCCCAGGATCGGGCCTCCCCCTGAGAGCAGCGTCCACGTTTCGGGGCCAGGGAAGCCCGGGGCCCGCCCGGCGCGCGGGTGACGTCCCGGAGTCCCCGCTTCCTGGTCCTTCCCGTCCAAGGAGGCTGGCGGGCGGGGGAGGGAGGGCCGGGACCCATTTTAGTTTTCGGTTTTGTCACGAGCCGGAAGGCGACAGCCGGGGAGGGCGCAGGAAGCCCTTTTTAAAATCCCCCAGCGGAAACGCGAGGCGCAGCCCCACCGCCCCGGAGACGCCTGGCGGGAACCCGCGCACAAACCCCGCCGCGTCCCGCATTGCAGCACCGGGATCGCCCTCGTCGCGCGGGGGCGAGATGGGACGGGAGGCGCGCGGGGACCCGGCCGTTTCTTCCACCACATTCTGCGGGTGGCGTGGGGCGGAGTTGGGGGGAACCGCTTAGGAAGTGGTCGCGCCGTCCCCAAGCCTCGGAGGGGACGCCCGTCCCCGTCCTGCAGCTCCCAGGCAGAACGACCCCGAGGGGGCTCCAGGAGCCCCCCTCTGCCGGGCTCAATTAAAAAAACACACGCGAGGTGGGAAGCGCACTCACCTTCCGGATGAAGGTCCGGCCGCCACGTCCTGCACGCCCCCGCCCGCCTGGCAGGGACCCCGGGGCCGCGCCGCAGGTTCCCCCGCCGACCCCTCCCCGGGACCGGCTTCTCCCTTGTCCCCACCAATTCCCCGCTCCTCTCCCCGGTTCTCCCGCATGCCTCTCCACCTTTACCCGGGTCCCCCCATCGGTTCCCCGCTCCTCTCCCCGGTTCCCCGCTTCACTTCCCTCCTCTTCTCCCCGGTTCCCCCATCGCAGTCGCCCGTCCCACCCCTCCACCAGTCCGTCCGTTCCTCCCTCGCGGCCCGGAGCCGGGCGCGCACCTTGGGCATCCCCGCCGCTGGTCAGCACGCCGATAGCCTTGCCGGCTCCGGAGAGGTGCTCCAGGAGTTTCCGCAAGGAACCCTTGGGGCCCTGGGAGTGGTCCGCGTCCATGGCGAGGAGGCCGAGGGGAGCCGCACGCCCGGGTGCGCAGCAGGCAATGAGGACCCTGCCCGCGCGCGCCCGACTGGGAACCGTCGCCCCGCCCGCGCACCCGCCCGGCCCCAGCGCCAATGGGCGGTGACGGGCGGGGCCGAGCGCGCGGGAGGGGCCTGCAGCGGGCGGGGGCGGGGGCGCGGGCGCGGCGCGGGGCGGGGGCCGGGGTCGGGGGCGCGGACGGGCACGTGCACCTCTACGCGGGAGTGCGCGGCGAGGGGCGCGGGGGTGGGGGGGTGCCGCAGGTGGTGTAAGCTGTGGAGGCGGGATAGCGCCACAGGTGGGCGGGGTCCCTGCGGGTGGGGCCGCGTCGCAGGTGCGGGAGCCTCGCAGGTGGGCGGGACCACTCAGGTTGGGGGCTCTAGACAGAACACGAGCGCCACCGGTGGGGCCGGAGGGGGAAGGGGGACCGCCGGGGGCCGGGTCACCTAGTTTGCAGAGCGCGCCAGGGCGGGGCGGGATGGAACCCGGGGAGCATCTCCCCGGGCGGGTGAGACCGTGAGTGGGCGCGAGCACCAGGGCGGATGGAAACCCGGCAGCTGCGGGGGGCGCGATGTCTGGGCAGGGTGGAATGGGGGCGCCGAGGTTGTGGGGCTGCGCGCGAAGCTTCTCGCTGCCCGAGGGATTCTGCCTGGGGCGGCCCTGGGAGCCTTGGGGAGCGGCCTCGTCGAACGCTCGCTCCGGGTTTCCTCTGCAGCCTGAGGTCGGGAAGGGCGGACCTGGAGTGGATCTTCCAGGTGGTGGGAAGACGGAAGCACCGCGGGCTGGGCCGTGACGAAGCTGCCATTTCTCTGGGCCACCGGGGCTCTGGCGTTCCTCGATCCCCAGTCCCGCACTGGGGAGGAGAAGCCTTGGCGTGGAGGAGGGTCTCGGGGCGCGACCCTCACAGACGTCCTGGCGCCCGGGCCTGGGCGCGCCACAGTCCGAGTGGGGCCGGAGGAGGCCCAACAGGACTGGCCGGGCGGGGGCGGGGCTCCGCCCTCCCTACCCACGGACACGCGCGCTGCTGAGTGCTCGGCCCGCCCCACCTGTGAACTCCACGTGCTGAAATACGCACATCCAAGGCCCTGCGGGCTGCCATCCACAGCTTAACCACCTGGAGCCCGTTACCCTGCGGTGGAAGAGAGGGCAGCCCCGGTTCCTTCAGTGCTCACCCCACCGCGAAGGGCTCCGAAGCGGCCCCACTCGACGGCTCACCGGAGGATGATCCTGTGCGCTCGGTGTTTGTTGAACAGATGAGACTGAGAAGAGGCTTGTTCTGTGAACCGGAGAACGTGGAGGCATCGCAAGGGAGCGGCTTGCTTTAGGGCAATCCTGGGGAAAAGATGGAGAGGCATTGATTTTTCTCGGATGTGTGCTTCCTCCTGGGGCTCATCCCTCTGAGCATCGAATATTCATTGCAAAGGAGAGAAAAAGAAACCAGCTGCGGACGAGCTGGATGGTCTGATCTCTACCTTGGTCAGAATTAACGGAGCAATTCCTAACCTCGCATGGTCCACAGAATCACCTGGTCTAATCACACCCCCTCTAAACCACTGAAGTCCAATTTCTGGGCGTGCAGCCAGGGAATGTGTAATTTTAAACAAGCCCCTAGGTTACTCCGACGAGTGCGAAGTCAGAGAGCGCTGCTCTCATGCACTCAGTCTGGGTTTATTCTGTTAATAGAAAAGGAAAGGAGAATCCTGGGTGTCTTAAGGTGGCAGTTGGGTGGCCTTGGCCTTCTGGAGGCAGGAGAGCAGGGCCAGGCTCTCAGTACCTGCGTTCACCGCTGGGCTCAGGATCTGTGCTGGAGAGTAGAAGGGCTAATTATTCATGCTTTTCTAGAGCAAATCACATGTGGAGAAGGTGGTGCACACTGAATTTTATTTTAGTCAGATGCCCCTTATCTTCTTACACAATATTTTTATAATTGAACATTAGAGGTTGGTCATTTGTCATCCTGCTGTCTACAATACAGAAAACAATAGATGCAACCTAACAGTTCACACATGACGAGTTAAATCAATGACGGTAAAAATATACGCTGGAATAATCTTTGTTTTTGCTGTTATGAGGATAGGATCGACTGACATGGAAATACGTTCAGGACATATAAATAAGTGAAAAGGCAGACCTGGGCACAGTGTGAGCCTGTGCGCACCTGTGTGCGTGTGCGTGTGTGTGTGAGTGTGCGTGAGTGCGTGAATGTAAGCGTGTGTGTGTGCGTGAGCGTGTGTGTGAGTGTGCATGAGTGTGAGTGCGTGAATGTATGCGTGCGTGTGTGCGTGAGCGTGTGTGTGAGTGCGTGTGAGAGTGTGTGTGAGTGTGCATACATATGTAAATGTATCTGAGCATTTCCTTTCCTTTCTTTTGCTTACCATATTTTCCTTCAATGAACAGGTATTATTTCCGGAGTAAAAGTAGTTAATTAAAAACAATACAATTTAGAATGTTCAGACCCCCAGGTTATGGATATGTTCAAACATGTGTATAGAAGGGCTGGGGTCAGGGTGGTCACTGGCCATGTTCCCACATCTATTCTCGTGAGGCTGGCCCATTGCTCAGTCCGTCAAGGAATCAGCATACATTAGTATACACCTGTAGCTAAGATGGAAGAGCACAGCCATGGCTTTTCTTTTCTTTTTTCTTCTGTAAGTCGTGTATTTTAATAGTTCTACAACTACAAGTATTAAAAAAAAAATCTTTGACCTTAGCAATGAATCATCTAATCCAAGAGATGTTGCATGCGGTGCTGACTGCCGCGTCCACCAGGAGGACCTGACGCGTGTTCGTTCTTTATTGCCCCTTGACAGATTAAACTTCTGTGGTCCTCACCAGCACACACGTATACCACAGGAATAATTACTCCAGGGGCCAGGAGTTCATGCAGACTTCACTGGGCCCTCTGCCCCAGGGACTCTCTGCTGCTACGACAGGTGTCTGCCCAGGGCTGCGATGTCTTCTGAAGGCTCATGCTCATCAGGGGAGGAGCTGCTTCCAGGCTCACTCCTGTTCCACTGGCAGGATTCTGTTGCTTCCAGGCTGTTGGTCTGAAGGCCCCAGTCTTTCCCTGGCATCCGCTTCAGCTGCCCTCTGCCCTGGGCAGGCGACTGGCTTTGCCAGAACTAGCACCAGGAGAGAGTTCAAGTGGACAGAACGCACAGCCCTTCCCAGCCCAGTCTCAGGAGAGACCACTGTCTCTTGTTTGATTCTATTCATCACAAGTGAGCCGCTGAGTCCAGCCCTCTTTAGGGCTCCGGCTGTGCAGGGCCACGGGGAGCCACTGGGGGGCGTGCTGCCTAGGCCAAGGTGTTGGGAGAACACGCATAGGGCAGATGCCCTTCCCTCTTCCCCTCTGTGGTGAACGCAGAAGCCGCTGATGCGCCCTGGAGGAGTTCTGGTGTCCCGGGAGGGAGCAGCTCCCCACCAGGAGGGCACCACGACCCAGTGCCCAGGTGTGTTGGGCTGCACATCCCACCACCAGGGCTACCTGAGCTGCAGCCGCTTCCCCTCCCCTGCTGTCTCTGCCTGGGCATGGAGTGAGCATCTCCAATCTGCAGGGGCCAAACTGAGCTCAGGCCTCTGTACCCCTGCACGATACCCCATCCCTCAGCCTTCCTCACCTCAGCTCCTGGCGACTCCATCCTCCTGGGGGCTCAGGCTGAAGCCTTGGGGTGCTCCTCTACCCCAGCATCTAAGTCCCTCAGGAAATCTCCCAGCTCTTCATTGCATCTGGAGCCACCACGGCCCAGCCACCACCTGTGACCTGGACCAGCACGGGTTCCCTCCCCATCCTCTGCTCTGTCTCCCATCCCCCCCGCCCCTGCCTCCGTGCCAGCTTTGAAGTCAGAGTGTGCTTATCAGACATAATTCAGGCCTCTCCTCTAGTGACTCAGAGTCACAGGCCCCCCACTGGCCCACTGGCCTGTCCTCTGGTCCCTCCAGGTCCTGGAGATTCCTGGAGGCCCATGTGGGCACCCAACAACCTCAGACCCAGCCTGCTCTTTACTCAGCCCAGCCCTCCTCTCCCTACCTGCCCTGCCCACCTTCCTCAGGTCTGTCCTGCAAGGTAACCTGCATGGTGAGGCCTCCCCAGATCACCCTCTTAGAAATTTCAGCCTCCACGCACACCCCGTTCCCTCCCCGCTTCTCTTAAAACAGCCTCGTCAGTGTCACACATGGGCATTTCACCTGCTGGGCTTCCTGCCAGGTCCCCCTGCTGAACTCTGAATGCGGTGGATTTGGACACCTTTGACTATTTCCTGCTGCAGGCCCAGGGCAACAGCAGAGCCCAGCACACAGTAAACCTGCCATGGGTGCTGCTGAATGAATGAGAGTGAGTGAGTCGGTGAATGACTGAGTGGATGAGTGAAGGAGTAAATGAGTGAGCTAATGAGTGGGTGAATTAATGAACATGAGTGAGTGAATGTGTGAGTGAGTGACTTAGTGAATGAGTGAGCAAATGAGTGAATAAGTGATGAATGAGTGACTTAGTGAATAAGCGAGTGAGTGAATGGTTGAGTGAATCAGTGAGGGAATGGATGAATGACTTAGTGAATGGTTGACTTAGTGAATGAGTGACAGGGAATGAATGAGTGATGAGTGAGTAAATGAATGAGTGAATGAATCAGTGACTCCGTGAGTGAGCAAATGAGCAAATGAGTGAGTGAATAAGTGAATGGGTGAGTGGATGAGTGAGTGAAGAAGTGAATGAGTGAGTGAATGAGCAAATAACTGAATGAGTGAAGGGGTGAGTGAGTGACTGAGTCAATAAATGAGCGAGTGTGTGAGTAAAGGAGTGAGTCAATGAGTGAATGGGTGAGGGACTGAGTGAGTGGATGAGGTAGTGGGTGAATGAGGGAGTGAGTGAGTGACTGAGTGAGTTAGTGAGTATCTTTAAAAGCCTGGTGCAATGTCACACCTGCAGTCCCAGCTACTTGGGAGGCTGAGGCAGGAGGATCACTTGAACTCAGGAGTTCGAGATTACAGTGAGTTATGATTACATCACTGCACTCCAGCCTGAGCAACAGAGTGAGACGCTATCTCCTAAAAAATAAACAAATAAAATAAAAGTGCTGGGGTCCATATCCAAGCCCATAGTC